AATCTCCTCCAAACTGCATCCCAAAGCCCTTGAGCGACAGGGGACAAGCCATTTTCCACACTGCCACCTCCATCCATCCCTGCAGATACAGGGCAGTCCTGCTCTCAGACAGTGGCAGCATCCATGTGCAGCCTGCGGACAGACACTTCCAAGACCATAACTACACAGATAAGCTGTTTTTCCTGACAAGCATTAAGAGATTTAGCACGCAGCATAATGCAGCTCGCCAGCTCTTCATTTGCTAACGTTAAATCAAAGACCAAAGATGCATGTGATGCTGGTCGTACTCTCAGCTCACCTGAGGGCTCGGCACATGCAGAACTGGCACCAACTTCTCCCAGCACCCCAGCAGGAACCAGAGGGTCTGTGAGAAGCCAAGGATGTGTTTTTAGGAGAATAACGAGTCCCTTTGGCATTTTCTTGGCTACATACACTACACCTTCTTTTGTTTGTGACCTGAGATGCATTGCAGCAGCTGCACCTTTACCAATTTCAAATATCATGTTTCATGAAAAGTGTTCTGTTTTGCTTCCTCATCTCCCTTCATTAGCATAAATTCACGTGACTAAAAGAGGAATCAAAGGTACCCAAACGAACTAACTCTCAGCAGGACTTAAGGAAAGCATTAGCATAACTGCTGCCTATCAACAGCACAGCAAAATGCTGACACTTTTTCAAAATGATCACACACACCTTTCACTCGCCTGAAGTTCCAGATTTGGACTTGAACTGCAATTCCTGCTGTTCTTCTTTTCCAGGAGAATCCAGTACCTGTGCCCCATTAAACTCTGTTACAGGTGATAATTAGCTGGAAACTGACAGTAATTTAGTCAGTTCATTTATCAGAAGGGTTAAAGCCAGCCCAAAAGATGTTAATATGAGGTTCTTAAAATTGGCATTATTTTATGCCACTGTGCAACTAATGTATCCACCATGGTGATAAGCAGAATTACTCAGTCTAAATAATGTTTTGTCTCATAAAGTCTGGCGAGGGCAAACAAATTATTTAGCTGTAATACCACAGCTGAATTAACAGCTCAAATGTGTAAAAGGGTGTATCTAAGAATCGACAGTGGATCACTGAAGCATTTAATCACTGTTTTACTAATCTCCTGCACTATCTGAACTCAAACTGACTTCTCACACTAAAACTCAATGGGGGTAATATACTCATTAATGATGGATCTTTTGGAGGAAGAAAATCATTAGAGTTTGAAAAACTAATTCAAGGTATAAGAGCTAAAAGCTGTGAATAGGGCACAGGTTTGTGCTCTAAGGCTTCCTGCAGAAACAAACAGCTCTGGAAAAGTTCCCTTGAAACCTCCCACTGAGGGCAAATGCTGTGACTTCCAAGTACAACCACATGTCTGACCAGGGACATTGGAGCAGGGACTGAACCAGGACCATTTTCCCAAGCAAGATCTGCTTAAACATTGCCACACTGGAGATCCATGTCCACAGTGCTGGTTGCAGCCTGGCTCTTGAGCCACTTGCATGTGATCCTTATGGGGAGCTTGGCTTTGGATACCTGAGAGGGCACAAGGTTGTTCCTTGTTCAGACGAGGCCATGGAATAAAGTGACAGACACCGGGAAACTCTACTTCCATGTCACTTCCTTACTGGCACTTTCATCCTACAGAGGGGTTGCTTCAGTAAGCTACACATACATTGGTTATTAAAGATGACAAAGAAGCCTCTTCCTTACTGGAAAAAGACATGGGAAAAAGGGCATGGGAGGAAAAAGCGTCAGGCTGCACTGGGGTAGGAGATGGGAACAGCAATCCAAGTCCCCAAGATACTCTGCGGTCAAGAAACATTGTCCCAGGCTGAGCACATCCATGCAAACCTGATCCTGGTCCTGGAAAGACACAAGGTCAGACCTGGTCCTAGCTCTGTTTCCACCCTCTTGCACTGCTCTCTGCACCAGGGCAGAGGTTTCCATCTGCTCTGGGTGCTCTGCAAAGCCTTTTGGGGAGCAGAGCCAGGGCAGCTCCTTCCCTGCTCCTGCCACACTTCTTTCACTTATTTAAACTCCTTGCTAGTAGTTGAACAGTTGCTGCATCCTCCTGCCAGGCTTCTCTACACGACTGTATCTCAGCTCTGACCTGCACATCTGACACTCGTCCCAAGACTCGTTTCTCCGAGGGCTGTCAGTTCAGCTGCGAGAGCTTCTGTTTGGCTTCCATGGGCTGCAGTCTCTCCCCAAAGGCTTCTCCGAAAGCGAAGACATCGGATTTCTGACCAGGGTGGCAGCAGAATAACTGGGAAAGGATACTGCTCAAAAACACTCAGAGACAGGGTTTTTCTATTTTTATGCATTTTTGAACAAATATCAGAGTGCAAAACTGCCTCTGGGATCGGAAAATGGAATTAAATCTTCCAACAAATACCAGAAAATGGATCCTGATGTCTCTATTAGCAATAAATGTGTTCATGCTTAGAAACTGGTAATCTAACATCCCTCCAGGGAATTGCGAATGGTGAGAAAAATGGTCCAACACAGTATTAGAAGGAAAGAAAAATATATACATACATTCAAATGAGATACACACTGGCTGGGAGGGGAAAAGCCTTGGGGCTGGTCCCACCTCAGCATGTTTACGTGCAGATCAGGGGGTCATTAAATAAAAAGCAGTGGCCTAGATCCTATGACTGCCTCCTCCTGTGCCCAGCAGTGCTAAGCCTGGCTCAAAACGCTCACCCCATGCAGGGTGCATCCTCCAAAATGCTGTTGTGCCTGTAAACTGTGCAGACCCCTGCAAGCAGTGAAAAGGGCACAGCTGGGACACAGAACGTGGCTCCGTTGCCTCTGCACGTGCCAACTCCAGCTGGTTTGGAGGGCTCGCAGACAACGCGGCTCAGAGCGGCTCTCAGGTTCACACCAGCTGGTCAAGCCGGTCTCCTGGATCACATATGTTATGGAGTGACCACGCATCCTCATTCGACCTGAGCAACACAAAAACTGTCCCAGCACAGAGGTGAAAACCTCCAGCTTTCTCTTTTTTGCAGAACAAGGGATTTTCCCTCATTTCCCCTGTCCCAGCTCCCAGCCTAGCAGAAGAGCTGGAAACGCAGCTCCCACCAGAGCCATGCCATGTTGGCCAACGCAAGGAACATGAGGTAGGATCACATAACCCTACCTGACTGTTACATGGCAGCACAAGGGCAAGGGCAGGGCAAGTTTGGTGTCCCCTCCACAGCTATGTTTGACTGTGACACCAACTTGGACATCCCAAGGAATCTGCCAGGTCCTCCTGGAAGCTGCATTAGGCTTTGCTGGCCCAAAGAATGAGCAAACGAAGACCTGGTCAGTATTTTGCAGGTAATTTACACAATTCCTATGTTGTTTTCCAATGATAATGGAATTCTCAAGGAAAATATACAACTTGAAAGCATTAAGACACAACCTAGAAGACACCCCCAGGTTGCCCCCCTTTTCCCTTCTCCATTTAAGAGTGATGTTCTCTTAAAATGGCTTAAAATCATCTATTTTATTCTGCCTTTACAGGTTTTTGAACTTCAAAGAGAAGAGAAAAACCCTACCACTTCACCATGAAGTTAAACATTATGTGGTGACATTACTGAAAGACATCAAAAATACGTTGCTAAAATAAACTCCTGCTTGAATTCTGCCTGTAATATTTTTCAGAAAGCTCAGCACACACTGACCTTCTCACACAGCACTGAAGCACATACTTAACTTCAACCAGGTACACACTCTTCTTGGAGTCAACAGATCTAATCACATCCTTAAAATTATTCATTTGCTTGAAGTACCTAGTTGAACCCAGGGTTTTACACCTAGAAGTTGCACAGTGTAAATTGGAAACATTATTTCTGGGTGGGCATTATACACATGTTGGCATATATATTCCAAAGCTCTCTAAGAAATTTAATTATTTTTAAGAGAACATGCTCAGTTCCAGCACCCTACTTCAAAAATCTAAAATTAACTTGTGCACAGTATACTGTGAGTATATATGGATACTGCACACACACGCTGTGCACATGTTTCATGTGCACAAAACAGCACAGAAAAATTGCTTTAAGCATAAATCAAGGCTATATGATACCATATTTTAGCAACAACTGCTGATGCTACCTGCTTATTATCAATCACAAAAGGCAGCATGATAATAAATATTTTAACCTTTCATCTGTAACTTGCTCTTTGCTGATAAAATCATTCCAGAGCTATCCACACACACGTTGACTACTTAAAATGCAAAATAAATGCCACTTACACATAGCAAAGGAACTCCCAGCTAATTGCATACAATTTCTCATGGCAGTTATTGCGCTGCCTCACAACAAACCTAGCTGGACCTTGTGCTTCCTCTTCACATTCTGCCCTTCCACAAGAAAAACCACCCGACCCACCTGCTCCTTGTACAATCCCATTAAAAAGACCTCCATCACGCTGCTTGTTGTGCTGTGAGGGCTGAAATGAGCTCTGTCACAAGCACTTTGTCTCTACAATCACAAAACACCACGTGCATTTATTATACCACAAGGAGACCCTGTTCTGGCGAAGAAAGACATTGCAGTTTTGTGGAAAGACAGCTGTGAAAAGGAAATTTGGGAAGAGCAGGGAACCTTGCACACTTACCTACCATTACCCAGCGTTAATAATCCCACTTACCTTTCTAAAGGAAGAGTCACCTTGATGAGACAAACACCCTTATCTCCATTTTAGTTCACATTTGTGCCTCCTACCACCAGAAAGGAGCTCGCTGATACTTCAGCTGACTTACTGTTGGGGCACATCCCACTGAAGTCAATAGAAGCTCTTGAATTTGTGATTTCTTCTATCAGGCATTGATTTTTTTTCCAGTCAAATACAGAGAACGCCAGGAGACATCTTTCCCAAGGAATCATACTTTCCCTCCCATTTTACAAAGTATAAGCATTGATCAACATAAAGCTAATTTATCAGAAAATAAAAACAAGGAAGATGCTGGACATTGGAACACTTTTCTGCCAAAACTTTCTATCACTACCTGCAGAATAGGGTTCTTGCTTCTCACTGTGAATGAATTCTTTTCTTTCGTATTTGGCTCTGATCCACTGTTCACGCAGCAGTCTGTAAAAAAACAAACAACAAAGTAGGGAAAAAACACAGGAAAGGATATACTGTCCAAGATAAGCTAAGGAAGAATTCATATCATTATCTCTTCAATAGAAGAAAACAAGTACGATTTGCAAGTCTTTCAAAAACTGAATTCTACAATTAGGAGTCATGAATCTCTCCCGTTTGCTGTAAGACAACAATAAATTGTTTCCTGGTACATGCAGTTTAGTGGAAATTTCTATAATAAAGTTTCCAGCACTAGTAGAATATAATAAAGTTTCCAGCATTGGCAGAATATCCCATTCACACCCACCAAACTCTGTGCAAAATTCTTTTAGTATAAGGACTATTCTAAAGAGAAACTTCCTCACATTGAACAGGGCATGACAGGGTAAGAAGTACCCTTGTGGAAAACACTGTTTAAACAAAAAAACCAAACCAACCAAACAAAACAAATCTCCACAGACCAAAGACTTCAAGTACTTCTGTCTTATTTTATTTTAGCACAACTCCTAGAATTAATGAAGGGCATAAGCAGTTTTCATCTGGAATATGTTCAGAATAGTTCAAAATTATTTTTAATTCACCAGATTATTTATTACTCTTCAATCTTAAATAGCCCAAGCAGACAAGAAGCCATGTGTCTTTCCAACATTACGTTTAGAAGCGGCCTACACTGATGACAGCGAAAGATTCCCCAGCAGTTGGCCATGCTCTGTAAAACCCACCATACCTGAACATATCGATTTCTGTATTAAGGAAAATTGTTGATATGACTGAAAATCTCTTTTTTCTTTTTGGCTTCCAATACAAATTAAGCACTATTTTTTCAGCAGAAGTGTTCCAGAAATGTTCAAAGAAAACAAGCCTTCTACTATTACTTATAAAAATTCTTCTGGCAGGACAGTTTCATCAAATTTGCAAGATGCTATTCAAACAGAACCACAGGAGTTATCAGTTTCCTGGTGATAAAGAAGCAGATAATTACACATATTTTCTCCTACCCATTGTTCCATCTCCTTGGTTGGGGCACCAGCCTTCTCCAGCAACGTACAGGAAACACCACTGTGTCATTGTGCCCAGAACTCAAATCTGAGCCACCTGCATTGCTGCAATAGAAATAATCTGCTGAATCTGCCTTTCCCCCTTCTGTTCATGCTTTCACAACTTATCTTCAGCTGTCACACGTGTATCTGCAAGTTAGACTGTGAACCCAAAGAACACCCATCTCTCTGCTGTTGTCACCATGCGATACATGATGGTCTTGAGAACAACGCATCTTTAGTGGGGATGGGCTTAGTAGAAGACTGCAAGGCGGCTTAGTCAGGATGTCCTTTTTGGTCAAATATCTAGAATCTAGTTGTCTGCTGCTGTAAAAGACTAGATCTGGTAACTCAAAAGGCATCGTGTCATCACCTGCTTCTGTGGTTCATCAACAAAGCTACGGAAACCTCACCACAAAATCACCACAAATACTTAAGAGCTGTCCATTTTTCCAGGCTGGCTGCTGCAGGCAGCTAGTGATCACTGCAGCCAAACTTGGACCAGCAAAGGCTTAACTGTAAGAGACAACTGACACCAACCTTGGTGCCAGCTCAATACTCCTGATAACCTCAGACAGCGTTTGCCGGGATCCTGAGGGGCTCCGATAGCAATTCCAAAGGACCACAGGAGTCCAGTCATGCAACCTGCCCAGTCCCTACCACTTTCTGACAGCTCAGACCTTCCTCCGCACTCCTCATCATCACATCTCCAGGTCCCTCAGCAGCAGCTCCTCCAAAACCCAGAGGCAACAGAGGAGCCCATCATTAGGACACGTCATTGCAAGGCCAGGGGCTGCTGTCTCTGCTCCAAAGGTTATTTAGATAAAGCAGAAATGCAGCAAAAGAAATGGAAAGAAAAGACCCAAGCTGCACAACCAGGAGTTTGAATCTCTTTGGTGGCTCAACTTCAGACCTGTCTCCATTTCATTTTAAGTACATTTTTAGGGGTCTTGTAGGCATTTGCTGCTGACAGAGCGCTGTGCTTTGTCTGCAGTGCATTTTTCTGCAGGTGAATGTGCACACAGGTACCCAGGGCAGGTATCACACTGCCCTCTGTCCAGGGCTGCCTGTGATTTCCACAGCATTCCGTGAACAGCAAGAGCCTTACGGTATTTTATTGAATTTCTGGTGAAGGGACATGTAGCAAATACACAGTTCACATTTGCTAGGAGAAAAATATAACTGTATAATTCCTAAAGTGAGGAGATGCACAGCTTTTGGGATCTAATCCAAAAGCCTTAACAGCCCACCTAAAATCTGGCAGGCTGCTGGTTGCAGGGAATATGTCATTTTTTGGCAATTAGAACAGAGAGGTCTTTGTAATTAACATGATGAAAACCTGGGAGCAGGGAACAAACTAAAAAATTAATGAAAGACTGCACTTCCAGCAGAATAAGCAAGAAGTTGTCCTCGGAGCTCCACGGGAGCTGGCTGCTGCGGGGCAGGAGCAGAATGGGAGGCTGATGAAGCTCTGCCAGCCCCAACACCAAAGCTCACTTAAAAATACTTGCTTGCTTTGCTGGCCGCTGTGGACAGCGCAGTGCAGCACTGGGATCCTGCATCCCGGCAGAACCTGCGACAGGATGGGAAAACTGCTCTTGTGCTCAAGCAGCTTCATATGGAATTGCCGCCGCGGAGCTTCCTTGTGTTGCACCTGGGAAATCTGCTCAGCAGAATGAACAGCCTCCAGTTTGCTGTCGCACAAGGCCCTGCAGCTGGGCTGTGTTTTCCTGGGACGCCGAGTGGTTTCCCTGCTGCTACCCTGCTGCAGGGAGCAGCGGCGGCTCCCTGCGCGGAGCCCAGGCAAGGAGGGAGAGGGGCCCCGTCACCACCGAGCGTCGCGGCCCTCTGCGTTTCATCCTTGCGAGCCAAGCAAAGGCAGAACAGAAGCATGTGATCCAGAAACGGCAGCTTCAGCAGCTTCAGCCTGTGAGCACAGCTTTGCCAAGTTGCTGTCAAGCAACACTTTTAATGAAATATTAAGTCCGAGTGCAAATTCTTCCTCAGACAGTACAAGAAAAAACACTGCAACTTCGATGGAAAGTCCATCCCGCTTCCACACCCTTTCCTCTCTGTTTGTGTTTGCTGAGTCTTCACTAGCAGGATTCACTTTCAAGTGGCTTGTGGAGAGCTGGGAGGGCCCAGGGGCTTGATCCAGTCACTCGGGAGCCCTGGGAACCTGTCCCCAAGGCCCTGGCCATCAGCAAACACCTGGAGGGGAGCACAGGGATGGAATCTTTGGCTATCCAAGTATAAAGCCTCTCAGGATCAAACAGTTGGAGAGAGCTGCCTGTTTATCACAAACCAGCATTCACCTTGGCGGTGCTGTTGGCACAACTACCAACTCATTCTGTAATCTGGGCACCTTGGGTATTTTGCAGCTCACTTTTTCTTCTTGATATCAAAGAGACTCTAAGGAGAAGGGAAGGGAAAAAAGCATCGATAACTCTCTGCCAACAGACTTCCAAAAATCTGTAGATTTCTGGTTTCAACCCAAAGCCAGGGAGAAGCAGGGGAGAAATTAGCAGCAATTTCTTCTACTAGATGCACCATCTTAGGAAGTGGAATCTACTTACACAGCAAGATTTAAGCAGCACTTCATGCACAAGGCTGAAAAAGGACGCTAGGGCTGGCACTTTAGGACCAAAAACCAAATATCCCACCAGGATAAACACAGTGCACTCAAAGTGTATACACAGCAGCTTTGCCAACCCTCAAATAATTTCTCTAATTGTAGAAACAATTGTAGTGGAAGCTGCTGCCAGGAGCCATTTTAGATCAAACCCAAGAGCTGTTAATGTTGTGAGAATGAGTGATTTTTTTTATCACCAGGCCAGGCAGTGCTGTTCACACCTGGGCTTTCCCAAATTTAGCATTTCAGCATTATCAAATAGCAGGTAATGGATGAATCATGGAGATGTTTCATAGGGATGACAGACGCCCTCTTTTCTTTTCCCTGTAAAAGGCTTTTTGCATGACATATTAAGAAGAATTACTGCTTTCCCAGCTATTACAATGGAGTCAAAGTGTAGATAAAAATCACCTTGAGGATGAGTGTAGGTACTCGTGAGCGGAGCCCTTTAACTACCTTCAGTATGATTTCAGATGTTGTGCTTAAAGCAGAGCCTGGTGCATAAGCATCCTAGTTAAGGGCTTTTCATACAAGGAATCCTACAATTCCTTCCAGTATTTCTGCTCTGGGCATCTCTTGTGATGTCTGAACACATCAAAAGGCGGCTCAGAGACTCACAGCTGGACTGGGCATTTTCATACCCACTGCCACCCTGCTCAACTAGCGACACCAGTTAAATGATATTGGGTTGAACATCAGATACTTCGTCAGTCAAGGACTGCCTAATACTAAAACACTGGCTCTGGAAACTATGTCCTTCAGACACCAAAGCCTGTGAAGCACTGATTTAACAAGGATACACCCACAGCACTCTGCAGGATTGGATTCTAGGACAGAATCTTGCTGAACAAACAATTTCAGTTTATCTCCTTGCTCCCTAAGCAGTACAAGTTCTGGCTGCTCAACCATTTTGGTCCACAAAAGCTGGTCTCCTGCCTTGCTAAGGAGAAGGATTACTCTGCACTGGATAGGATCAAACATCCTGCACCTGTCCGTGCTTAGGATCCCCCACTACTATTCGGCACGAAGAGAAACAATATTTTGGCATTACAAGTAACCTAGCACCTCGTCCATCAGATAAGCAAGTTACATTTTAATACAAAAGGGCTATTTGAGAAGGAAGAGGAAATCAATAGGTAGAAATTGACTTTTTCATGGCCTCAGAAACCTGGAAGGGTCTAGGGAATAGACAAACCGTTGACTTCCCTGCATCACGCAATTGGACTTATTTAATAAGATCCCACGTGTAGTATAAACTCTACCATATGCATTCAAAAGAACAAACATTTTTTCAGAGACTTTTCTAATGCAACCCCCACTGTGATAAAAAAGTGCATCACGCTAAAACAAAAATATTACAGAGGCTTCAGCTGCACAAACAAATACATGTGGCCTAGCAGCAGAGGTATTTACTTACTGACAGTCAAGAAATGTTGGCTTGTAATAAAATGGTGGCATCTTGGACTCATATTTTGCTTTTGCTACATTGTTTCCATTCGAGGCCATAAACTGAAAAAAAAAGAGGAGAAAATCAGACAGAATTAAGAAATGTTAACGGCCTTTTCCCTTATCCTCCCCTGATTCTATACAGCAATAAAATAACTGGGACGAGGCCTTGCTTCCCTTACTGCAGAGCTTCCCGGGGACTGTGCACAGGAGCAGCGCTGCAAGGGCTATTCCTGTGGGCCAGGGCTCGGAAATTAACCTCGGCATTCCCAGAGACTGCATCCAGGCTGCATCATTTTGGAGACAGGGCACAGGCAACTCCTGCTTTTCAGTGCCCCAGAGCAGTTTGCTCACACATAGCTTTTGCTTAAACACATAGCTTTTGCTTAAAAAGGTTTTGCTTAAAACGCTACCACAGCCATGAGAACCAACCTCACTCCCTAGAGCAGACCCTTCATCTGCTTGATATCCCTAGGGACAGATCCTGGCCGGTCACAAGGCAGTGCCGGGTCACAGTCTGGTCTCCTGCATTTCCACTTCCAGGCCGGGGAACGTGCTGGCTCCCAGGGCACAGAAATCAGGCAAACCAGAGGGCAGAACCTGACGTGAACATTAAGTCTCCTCAGGTTAAGGCTCCAGCAAGGTAACAGCGTGACAATAAGCCCTATGCTATTTGCTTTGATGAGGATCATATCTCATCCTCCAAAATGATTCAGTTCTGTGCAAGTGCTGGTTTCCTTCATGCTGCAGTTCCTTGCTGATGATTCACTCCTGTTCCCTTGCACATCAACCATCCACTTGGGTTTTAACCACTAGCTACCAATAAAGTGGCTTACAGTGCTCAGCATCTTTTATAAAGCAGCCCAACAGTGCAGCCACCAAAGGATTTATAGCAGGATAAACCTCACTTACTCTGTTTTACTTTGAAATGGGAAGGGACTTTGATTACTTCCCGAATTTAACTTCTTTATCTTAAACAATTAAAAGGTGCTATAACAGTGTTTGACAACACAGTGGAGATATTAAAAGAAGAAACCTTTTATAAAAAGGAGAACAAGGGACAGGACCAAGTCCAGAGACCTCAGGTTTTAATCCTGCTATGGATTCTTAGCAGTGTAACAACAATCTTCATTTAGCAGACCGAGTGTTATCACTAGTGCGATATCACTACTGCACAGCCCAGGAAGGTGATGTTCATGTGGATTAACTCAGAGGGGAAAGAGCCTAGCCCAGAGCTTTGCACTGACAGTAGTCAATGCCCACCTGGAAACTTGAATTTAAGCACTTGTCTGAAAGGCCGGGTCCAGCTCGCTCCTGCAAATCACCTCCTAGGGTAGAAGCTGACACCTGGCACTGGAGCTTTGTAGCTAAAGGGTCTCAAGCCAATTTATTACAGCTCCAATGGCAGTAACACTTATTTTGGACGTGTTTGCCATCTTCAGACACAGCTAAAAAGGGTAGGAAACCTACCAGCTGTACCAGCCCACCTTTCCTTTCAGTCTGTCATGCAAATAGCTAGCTGAAACGAGTGCCAACATGCCATGTACATCCTTATTCATAAAATTTGCTCAAATTTAATGAAATGGACTTCATAGCTGTAAAAAAACACCCTTTTCCAGGAAGCCCAGGATTTTTTCATTTTATATTGCATATATTCATTTTAATTTACATTGCATACAAGTAAAATGAGTGGTCATTTTTTTTGTTATTTTGAAACAGGGGTTTTTGTTATTTTCCTGTTTTTTAAGCTTCTCGAGTTTACAAATTCAATTTATTTTCAACAATCAAGGAAGAGAGGAAGAAAGAAAAAAAAAGAAGGAAAAAAAAAAAAAAGACGTGTAAACAAAGGCCCTTTTCTTCCTAATCACATGATTCCATGAACTGCAGCTTTCAGAAAACCCCCAAAGCTACAACATACAAGATAAAAATCAATGACTGGTAGCATTCTTCATGCCTTTAAAGACAACAATAGTCAAAGCCTATAGATTTCCTGGTTACATTTGCTAATATCACCCAGATCCAGGCAGGCCTGTGCATAAATTGAGAGAAGTTACACTGCAGGAGTTCAGTTCTTTGAGATGTGAGTTTAAAAGTTTTCGATGCCAAGTAGAAAAAAAGCCACAAGGAGCCAGGCTGGGCAGGGGTGGTAGAGAAGAGCTGCAGGAAGATGTCAGTAACAGCAGAGGTGATTTTTACAATTAATTATTAATATATGGAGTCTGAAATTAATAATTAATCAGTGGAGTATGTTCAAGAATTGTTGCCATTTTTATGGTTGTATGGAACCTATGCAGCTTCTTCGTGACATTGTTATTCCATTTTTTCAAGCAGATTTCGTAAGTACGGACAGCTGGACCTTGTTCCCACATTCAACATTTATTTAGGCATGTTTTCCGAGATCATGTTTGCTGTGACATCTTTAGAAAGGACTGTGTTTATAGCTTTTCTGATAAGAAAGCGGAGTGTGGGTGGCATTTGTGCCAGTGATGTGAAATGCAGTGACCCCAGCTAGTTGGTATTTCAAGTCCCAGACGTACATACCTCAACTTGAGCATCATCCCAGTCATCTAAACGGACTGACTTCACTTTGCTGACTTGGGGAATATTGCGATGGATTCCTGAACAGTTTAAACAGATGAAGATTCCCAGGTTGTGAGAGGCCCAATCTGGATCTGAAAAAAGGAAAGGAAAGAAAATGGTACTTGTGGAGAGTATCAAATTTAGCACAGGAGGAGGAAGGAAAAATGGGTCAGGAGCCGAATTTGGAAGCCACCTGAGCCCGAGTGCCGTGACTCTAAAGGCATCAGATATACACACAAGTGTAGGCAGGTGTTCATTTATATTAATAATTACACCAATCACACTAATCACTATATCAAAAATTTTTACCAGTGCACATACAAATAAAAAAAAAAATACCAAATTCACCGCCATAGAAGCAGCAGTTATTTGGAGAATCCAACATGTGGACAAGCGCAAGGTGGATGCAAACCCAGCGCCTCCACCTCTGGCCGCGGCCACCTCGGCACATGCCGCCCTTCCCGAAAGCGCGGGCGGCCCCGCGGCTCCCTGCTCACCAAGGGGAGCTCTGCTCTTCTCGCAAACTGCTGTAATTTGTTTATTTTCCCACAGTAATTACGCTAATTACGCAGCGCAGCGATTATTCATCCCAAGCAGGGCAGCGAAGGCACTTCCCGCTCCTCGCGTGTTGGCAGAGCGAGGCCGCGGCCGGACTCCTCGCCCGGGACCCGCCACCGGCCTCCCTCCCGGCACGGGGGAGTTTGGCCGCCCGCAGGCATCGTCATCCGGGTATAAACCCACATGTGCGACCCAACCACAGGCCTGGCAAACCCCAACCCGCCCGTGTCCATCTCAGCATCTCGCATGGCAATGAAACACCCCGTTCCTTCCAATTGCAAGGGCTGCTGCCACTTATCGGTTTATCCACACACCCAGCTGGCAAGAACTTGACATATTCAGGCACATTTCCTCGCTTTAATCCCTCACGTTTTCCTCTCCCACCTCAGAAAGCTCCTGATCTGCTGGCACTAGTGAATTTTCCTCCGTGGGACCTGCCAAGCTCAGGTGCTTGGAGCAGCAGGAAGTTCTGGCAGCGCAAAACTCCTGCGGGAGCCAGACTGGGGCACATGAGAGCACCAACCTCCCTCCCGGGTACCTTCTGCCACCTCCACCAGTACCTGCAGCACTGGGGACCAGCTGGGGTCCCCGCCACAGCCCAGGGGACACCCCGGGGAGGGGTAAAGTGGCTGTGGGTCCGGCAGACAGGGACGCAGTGGCAGAGAGAGGAAGAGGAGGCAGTCGCAGCAGGACTCGCTTCCAGAACGGTCAGGAGCCGTGGGCTGAACATGGTTGATGGCACCACGCGCTCAGTGAAGCTGTTCCAGCAACAGCTGTTCCCAACGCCAGCAAAATTGTCTTTAAGCCAGATTCCTAAACATGCATCTCCCCCGCTTTACACAGCGCCAGGGAATGCCTACATAGGCAAAAATCGGGCTACATGCAGGACTGTATCTGCATGTTCTGCAGGAGATGACGGCACTTATGTATTCAGAAAAGCACCAGCGGTGTCAAGACTCAGCCTCTGGAAAGGCTGCTCTCAGCTCGGCCCCAGGACCCGCTCCCTCCTGCGGGTCCCCTTTCCTCCAGGGCCTCCTCTCCCACCGAGGTCCCAGCTCCACTTCCATCAAGGGGCAGCATCAAACACAGCCAACTAGAGGAGCACCTGCAAGGGCTGCACTTTTAGTGCCACTTACCGGGCACTCGGGTACCGGGCACACACAGGGCCGCTACGCGTCAACAGCGGCTCCCTGCTCATTGCTGCTCGGGTTTTAAAAACACCCCTCTCGGAGCCCCGGATCCCGTGGCAGGGGGGACGCGTGTCGCACGCGCTCAGCTCTTTGTGCACTGCTCCGCCGTGACAGCCGCGGCCCAGGACTGCACAATTCGGCGATTGTTCAAGATGCCAGCGGGAGCACGAGGAAGGAGAAGAGGTCAAGATGTCTCGGGACTCGAATCCGTGCCCTCCAAACCAGGGGGGATAAAAACTGCTAGTAGTGAAACCCCCCGGCCCCGACTGGCCAGGGAGACTCTTTGCGAGTCGCCGTTACAAGATGTGACTAGCGATTTCTCGCTGCTCTCGCAGCCCTGGCTGAGGACACCTGGCCGGGAGAGCAGGCAGGACCTCATCAAGCCGGAGGGATTCCCGAGCGGTGCGTGAACAAGTCGGAGGGCTATGGGCACACGCTGGCCCAGCCCTGCGAGCCGGCGGCTCCTGCACGGGATGGAGCAGCCGAGGGCTCCCTACTCCATCTCCAGAGATCTCGGCCCATCCGACTGGCCCTTCCCGGGCTCTGTGTAGCCTCCTGACACCATCCCCAGGGGAACCTTCCTTCAAAGGTTCCCTGGGCTTCTAGCGGAGCTGCCGGCAGGGCCCTGAGCAGACGGCTGCAGACCTGGCTTCGTATCCAGCTCCATGGGGAAGTTTTGGGGAGCCTGTGGTGACATTCGCCATGCCAGCGGCTATGGCTTTCTCCGAGCCGACGGCCGTCCCGTCTTCACTTGTGCTCCCCAACGCGAGACACGTGAACGAGCCTCAGCTCATGGACACGGGAAATAAGGACAGAGATCTCTGACCTTGGCGCTTTCAGATTTCACCCGTTCAAATGACTGCCTAGCACAGGCTTCAAGATAAGGCAACACTTTATCAAGCAGGTGATTAAATTCACCTAAGTGTCTTTACACAACCAGACAAGGAAGCTCTGGGGCACTCCCACTGCCACCTTTTACAGAACCACAGAATGGCTGAGGTTGGAAGGGACCTCTGGAGATCACCTAGTCCAACCCCCTGCTCCAGCCGGGACACCCAGAGCACAAGCCTCCCAGGGCAGCCTGTGCCAGGGCTCTGTCACCCTCACAGGGAAGAAGTTCTTCCTCACATGGAGATGCAATTGCCCATGTTTCAACTTCTATCCAGTGGCAGGGCTGCTCTGCCAACAGCTCCCGTTCACCTTGTTGCTAAACGCTTAAACTGCCGGCACGGATTCTCTGTCCCGAACATCTGGGATTTCAGTAGTTTTATTTAGGCTGCTTTATCTGCTCTGATCCAGCAAACGCACTCACTACCATGCGTTCCTCCAGATTGAGCTACGTTGCCATTCTGGAGCACTACTCTCTACCTGGGCCCTGCTCAGAATAGATCTTTTTTCTTCTAAGCCTCCAGAGTTTTAAGTGTTTTTGCAAACAGCAGTAAAGCCTAATGAAAACTCTCCGGCATTCCTAAGTTCTAAGCAAATGACTTTATTCCATTATGCCGAGCCAAAAAGAAGAAAGACTACCAAGGAGCAGGGGAAATATTAAGCAGCACACACTGTCACGAGTGCAGAAAGTCACTGATCCTCAGGCACTGCTGCTGCAGAACAAGGGTGCAGAGCTGTAGAACGTGGTAGAGACTTTTGTTCACTCGAGCACAGATTGTAATGACTTGCAAACAAAAACCTGATGCAATTTCACCTAAAAGCGAATATCGAAGCTAAACTAGACTTGTAAAAACGACATTGGGGGTTCTATTTTTACATCTGGTTCATTTGAGAAGGAAGGTACCGCCGGAGATTAGAGAACCAGCCAAACCAAAAATGAAACACTTGAGCAACTTGAGATCGAATTTGGAAATTAAGTTCCCCAACCCTTTGCTACCACAGGCTGGCACACAGAATGATGAACTCGGCAGCTTGAATCCAGCGCTACTGAGCACAAGAACAGCCCACAGAGAGGGGAAAAAGTCTAAAAGTAGAACAATAAGAAATGAGAAGAACCTACACTAGATTTAAGACAAGTATACAAAGCAAAAGGTGCATAGAGAAGTCCTGCAGGTGGGATGGCAGTGGAATATGGTGCTTTACAATGACGCTCCTCTATCCAGCACTCAAACTCAGGGGTCTCATCCCAAACAGCACTTAGTCTAAGAAAAAAAAAAATCACACAAAATAGAGTAGCAGCAGAACCAAAGCGCCTACAAGACAAGATCTCAGAGTCACTAAACTGACCCAGATGCCCCACTCCACCTCTGAGGTGAGAGGAGCAGAGAGGAGGCCCTGCCTAGGCAGGAGGCAGGGCCTGTGAAGGCCGGGCCTCCACAGGCAGGAGAACTTCATGCTCAGCACTAAACTTCTGCTGCTGTTTACTCCAGGGGAGCAATTGGGAGGTTAATAAACAGACCCTGGTCAAGCACATTCAAAACTAACAGCAAAAGACATTAAAACTAAAGCCAAACACTCTCCCCAACACTTCACTAAGTTGGAAAATTTCTCCTGAAGGCACCAGCCGAGCCAAGGTCTTTGTATCGAGCTGCCAGGTCTCTGCAGCCCCTCTGCTTGTACCTGCAGCCCCCAGGGAGCCAGACAGAGCAGCCCAGAGAGCAGGGCGCACTCGGCAGCCTTGCTTTCCCTGCAGGATCTGGGATCAAGGGAAACAACTTCCATGGGAATTTTTCCCCTCGCTCACAGTGTGTGCACCAAGGAGCGGAGCTGGCAAATTCCAGGGAACTATTTAAGAACTATTTAAGTTAGAGGACAATGGAGGTGCGGGAACAAGTTTCCACATTTAGCTTGAGGATGAGAAGAGCGTTTCACGCCATTAGAGCAGCGAAGCTCTGGAACAGCTTTCCAGTAGGAGGTAGTGGGGGCAAAAGAGAGAAGGAGCCACAAGACAGAGCCCATCACTTCAGGGGGAGATGAGAAGATGTCACTGCACGTGACAGTGAGAGAAGGACCCGGTGACTCAGTCGGTTCTCTTCCAAATCTGTGTTTTTTGGACCGGTGATTAGATAGTGGATGGAGAGGTTTAAGGTCAAATCCTTTCAGTGTCCTTCTTAATCCAGAGCAAATAAAGCAGCCCCTGCCCACCTGTGTTTTCTTCTAATTGCCACCCTGTTTCATGAGGTCGACAGGGTGAAATAGCTTGACCTGCTTTAAAAATAAGATGATGATGGGCCTGTAGCAGAGCTGTTGGGATCCACCTTAGCTGTGCACCTCCTTGCAGGCTTTCATGCACACAATGTTCAACCACTCTCCTTTGAGGGTCCGTGTCCCAGCAATCCCAGCAAATAAAGACAAAAGCAATAAAAACAATACACGCTGCACAGCAATTCC